ATATAGAAAATTAGAGAAATAATAAATAAGTAATTATATGCCTATATGCAAATGAAAACCCAACATTATGTTTGAATTTTTTTGTATTAATGATTTGTGCTCCCTATTATGTTTGCACTTCTGATATGAAAATGTTATTTTCGGTTTTGAAAATCCTTGCAAAGGTCATAGATATTAATATTGGCTGTCTTACAAACGTAATTATGAGTCATCCGCTCCAAAAATGCAATAATTACTTAGTAAATTAACGAAAAATTTAAAATGTAGCACATAAAAGATTTATTTATTTTTCAATTAATTTTTTCGCTAGTTAAGATAATATAACATTACACTAGTTAAGATAAGATTAATTAGATAAGGTAATGGTGTTTAGTCAAAAAGTGCTCAAAACCCTTATGACAAAGAACAATTTGTATTTTAGTAATGACAAAAATTAATCACGATACGACGCCTAAAACTAATACAACTATTTACAACCCCCCCAAAAGTGCATGGCATCAATCTGCCTTCAGCCCTTCGCTATTTCTGGTATGAATTCAAGCGTAAGGTCCACTCTCACTCTCCACTGGAACTAAAACATTTTCTCAATCAATAATGTGACCACTGAACGCGTTCGTCAGCGCTCCGCGATTGGCCGTTCGGACCCGCGGCCAGCCAGGAAGGGACGATGGAGAGGCGAGAAGGTTGCTTCGGGATACGGAAAACCGACCGATCACCCTCCCTCGAAGGGATGAATTATGCATACCCTGCTTGCCCCATGTCGAACCCGGCCGGCGACGCAGGGTAAATTTACTCGTACGTACGAATACTAAGCGACGAAAGTGATAGTAGAGTTGAGTTACTATTATGAGTAGTGACTACTCGTGCTTTTTTAAATGTCGCTCGTTAAGTGTACTACTTACTATTTTCATGATAATTGATATTTGTTTTTTGAATCAGAAAATCGGTTCATCCGCGCTCTCGTAATCGTCGACAAAATATTGTATCCGCACGTACATACCCACACACATATACATATCTACATACATACACGCATGTATATCTACATACATACACACTGTTGGACATCGCCGGATAAATGTTTTTAAATATTTTTATTAAGTAAATAATTATAGCATTTTGTAAAATACTATTAAAGTTGAATCATTCATTTCTGGATAAATAATATCTAATTGGGATAGAGAAGCTAGGGCCTCATTGTAACAGGCGTAAGTAGTAACAAGCGTTTTTCAATATGATTTCGAACAATATTAAAAATTTGTTTGTCTTAATTGGTCATGTAAACCGTCTTGTAAAATGACGGTTCTGCGTAATATTGTCATAGTTACTGTCCCGCAGACCGATGTAATATACAGAACTGTGCAGGTCAGCCATTTTTCACTGTTATATAAAGTTGTGCTTTCATAAAATTTAGGTTTGCATTACTATTTTTGCATTACAAAGCATTTTCATAATTTGCTGCATCGATTACTCAAAAACAAATAATCCGATCACTATCAAATTTTTTTACATGTTCTATATATAGTTCTCCGTAAAATGAACTATCTATATTTTGATCGGATTAAAAATCGAATTTTGGCAGTCCAAAATCTACCAAAATTTTGGGTAAAATCCGACTTTTTTTAAAAAAACGCCGTCATTTTGTCAATTTTTGATTTTTTTTATTGTAGTTCATTTTACAGACAATATTATCTAGTTTAACGAGATTTTGTTTTTAATTTCATCGACGTGGAAGGCCGGAATCACTGCAGTAGTGAAGGGCCTTTTTTTGTCGCGCTGTTGGAGATCGACGATAACTTTAAAAATATTTAATTTTTTTCTTC